AAGAACTATATTTGTCACCCTTAATGAAAAGACCGAAATTGAGTCTCCGAAAAAATTTAGGTCATGACAGTAGGTACTCATTAATCAGGTTAACTACTCTGTTTTCCAGACCATGGTATACATAGTTTTTAGATGTACTCACAGAGTGTAATAACCTGTGCGATCTAAGGTAGGATTTGGAGCAAATAATTATTGAATTACTCTAGAATCTTAGGGGAGTTGATCTGTCCGTTAATAAACTTAGAAAAGAGGGGTATTTAACATGAAGCGGACAACGAAAGAAATGTCTGATTCTGATTTTTTTTCATAATTAGGTTAATTGTACTTCTATAGGACTTGAATAAACGTGTATAATTATTTTTATTTTTGTCGCCTTAGTCACCAATATATGCGTGTTCAAAGAATTGTCAAAATTCGAGGAACGGATTTTTCGAAAACTATTAATGCAATAAATAAAATCGATTGAATAATAAATAAACGGTGTATATTTGAGAATATTAATTGTATTCCTTGGAAATTTTTTAAAATATGAATTTTTTTTTTTTTCATATAGTAAACCGGAAGTTAACATTAAAAATCTGGTTTCTTCAAACTTCGCCTTTTTTTTTAATTTTTTATTTTTACCTGAAAATATAGCTTGTGGTATAGAAATATTATGTAGACAATTTTAGAGCGGAATCTCGACTCGTTTAAAAGATAGATAAACTAAAGTATGAAGGTGACGCATTATGCGCTGTACTAGGTGGTTCCTTAGGCCACATTCATAGAGTGGGATTTGACACAAAACGATACGGCACCTGGTGGCAAAAATTTTAACTGCCCAAGCATTGCATTGTAATAAACAGCTATTCTGTACTGTGTTATTTTGCAAATTGTGATTATTAATATTTTATATAATATGGAACTAGCCAAATTCCATTTCGTGCAAAATCAAAGTGCAGAACCGTTTGTGCTGTAAAAGGTTGTACAAGTCGATTAGATAAGGACTTAGATATTATATTTCATAGTTTTCCTACAGTGCAACGGGTCGTAACTATCACAAATGTATTTACTTGACAAAATCGATCAAATTAAAGCTTGGAAAAGAGCTTTAAAAATTAAAAATGTCAGTTCATGTACAAGAGTTTGCTCACTTCATTTTAATAAAGATGACTACATTTTTCCGGTAAGTAATAATCGAAAANTTCCGGGTAAGTAGTAATCATAAACGTTGTATTTCTATACTTAACCTCACTTTATAACTCCAATATGATGCTAAAATTTATGCGTTAATTTTTAAAGATGTTGCAGTAAAACGCAGAAAACTGAAAAGGAATGCTGTCCCGTCTAATAACTTACCTAATGTCAAAATAGATAATAGACACGAAACTCGAAAAATTAATCGACGTAAAAAAATTGAAGAATTAATGGAGAAGCAGGAAAAAGATTTAGTATCAGAAGAATTATATCATAACTCATCAAACGGTGAAAATTTATGGCATGTTCAAGCAGAAGTAGTACCTTTAACGCCATCAATGCGAGATGTTGAAGTGGAAGTATCAAGCGGTATCACTTGTTTTATCATCATTTTTTCCACATTTTATTATGTGGCCAGCTTTCAAAAGTTTTTCGGCTTCCACAACACTTCTTGAGCTTACATTTGCATTAGCCCAATCAAAAATTGTTTTTAAATTTATCATTAGAAAAATTAAAAATCACAATATGCAATGCTTTCTATAATACTGATGCAATGTATGGACAGCCATCTTCATTAGGCCGCGCCCTCATGTCACATCCCAGTACCGACACGATTTACTGCACGCGATTTGTCGTATCGTAACGGAACGTCACATTATGCGACTAAATATTGTCTTGACAAGTTTCCAAGTTGAAATGCGAGCCTGCCTATCCTCGCAGTGATGTCTGGTTTAGTGTATGTATCTAATGGAGTGAAATATAGTAATTCTATTAAATCGACTATTTCGTAATTGAAGGCTTTTTCTTTGAGAAAGACATGTTAATGACTAAGTTGCGGTTACCACTAATAGCATATCATACTCGGCGGAAATGAGTATTGGCAACGATGGACAACGATAAGTTGACACAACTCACATGTGTGAAACCGTAAATTTGGTTACATTGAATATACGTGTCGTGCAGTAATACATCGCGTAATACATACGATTTTGACTGTATAATGTAGGCACACATACACAAACACATACAAATTTTGTTGGGCTACACTATACATGCCGGAGTTGCCTGAACGTTGCATCGAAGCGCGCTCACAGATCAAGCGATCCCCACTACGAACTCGACTACGTGCCTAAGTAGAGGGGGGACATCCGTTGCAGGTTTTCCGTACATAGCAACTCGCATGAAACGAACTTACCCTACCGTGCGTAAAGGAGTTTCACTTCAAAAAAATGGTATAATACATTTTGTAATTTCAACTTTACCGCTCGTGGTGTAACATGTTCGTTTTACAATTATGCCCTCAGACGTTGGTACTGTTCGTTTCAAGAAGTTGGAGATATGCTCCTTCCCTTTATTAGGATGCGCCGTAGTATAATTCCAAATTCAATCATATTTGTCTGCGTAGCTCATTTCTTCACCGCGAGCTAGACAAAAGTATACAGTACCATTTGCAAAATTATTTAAATTGCCTCGTTAAAATTTAAGAATATGCTTTATTTAAAAGCATATTTAGCCAATAATAATAACAAGTGAATTAACTTAACGCTCTACACACCTATAAAACTTTTGATTTGTTTTCTATTGTTAATTTATTTACATTTTTGTTTTAAGAAATTGCTAAACATTTTCGTCTAGTACTGTACAGTTCTAGCTGATCTTTCAAGACCGCCCATCGAGAGCTCTGCTCGTTCAAGCTTGTTCCAACTATTTCCGTCTTGCTCACGCCTAGTGTGTATTCTTTATATCTTCGCGCAGATTTCTTCAAGGTCACAATTCAAACAAATTGAAATGGGCTGTACGTAAGCGTGGAACCCTTAATGTATCTCCTATTTGGAATCATAATTAGATTTGCAGTTTCCGTTAAACTGTGCCTAGTCATATTATCGTACAGTGGTAGGTATAGCTTAATTTGCTGGCAACTCAAGGCTTGTATGGATCGTTAGTCTTTTGAAATTCTCGCCAGACAATCACATGACCACTTTTCAGTGCCAAAATATTTATAGATAATAAAATAAATAAAAAATTAAATTTGTTTTTAAAATTTTGCGAGACCCATTATATATATATCATTTTCCATTAGTTCTAATAATAAACCGTAAATAGCGAGTAAGACTACCACACGTCTACACTAAGGAGCAGTCCAGTCCAGCGTGCCATGCTTTAGTTCATCTATCTTCTAAACGAGTAGAGATCCCATTCTATATTTTTTTACATAATATTTCTATACCGTAAGCATAATTTTCAGGTAAAAATAAAAAATCTGAAATGTGCGAAGTTTGAAGAAATCAGATTTTTAAAGTTAACTTCCGGTTACTATACGAGTTAAAGTAAAGTAAAAACAATTAATATTCTCAAATATACACTTCTTACCTATTATTTAATCGATTTCATTAATTGCATTAACAGCTTTGGAAGAATATATTCCTCAGATTTTGACAATTCTTTGATGTGGCATATAATGGTGACTAGGCTGAAAAAATAAAAATAATAATCTACTTTTGTTCTATTCCCAGAGATGCCAATTATGAAAAAAAAGAAAACCAGACCGTGACATTTGTTTCGTTGTCCCTTCACGTGTAATGCCCCTAAACAGTGCAGTTTTCAGGTTCATTTTATAAAACTTTCCTTTAAATTAACAGAAAATTTCAATGATATAATAAAATACAGGCTGCTATATTTAAAATAACAACATAGGGGGGTCTATTGAAAATATTTTGCGTTTAAATCTTATGTCAAATTATTACGAATTATTGCATAGTAAGTTGGTACATCTAATTCTTAATTATTTGTTTCAAATTTTAAGTTAACGCTTACTTACCTACTGGGCTAGGACAATTAGCGAATCAATAATAATCCAGAGAAAGAGGTGGTTTGTTTTTTCACTAGCCCTGTGAAGATTCCCTGACATTTTCTACGTTCCCCAACCCCAATTATATAATAAGGTAGGCTAATATTCTTACCAGGTATATTATAAAATAATTTATTATTTATAGGTTAATTNTAAATTCGCTTCTAATATTACATTAAATTAATTTTATATTTCTAAATAAATAACTGTATTAATTAACTCAAATTTTCAAAATTAAATTGCGACTGTTACTCCTTAAACTGTGAACGGTAATATCCAATTCTTCTAAGATAGTTGCTCACCGACCACTCGAGTCAAAAAAATATTGCTCGTTTAAACTTAGCGCTTTCTTTTCGTTAGCATAGCACAAAAGAACTGGCAACAGTGCGTGAGAAGGTTAATCGAGTCAACTGCGAATTCACCGCCCGCCTCATTCTCGCAGCAAAAGCAAGTTTCACGAAGTCACTCATTCAACGTTGCCACGTTGCCTAGCATACTGCCCTTCTAGCCAATTTTACTTTAATTAGTAACAATTGGATTCTCCGATACTCTAATTGCTTTCTCCTGATTTTATTACTATATCTCGAATGGAACTTATGAGTTTTGTGAAATTTTGTATATCTTAAAGGCCGATCCCACAAACCCGACGCCATTGTCCCCATATTGAAGGTAGACGAAAACCGAAATGTTTGGACGAACATATGTCAGAAAATAAACAGTCGAATTATTCAAGATTTTACATTTTCAAGGGCTTGCATACCAAGTAAAAGCGTCAATCATGGTGACAGTTTCCAACCACATTAGGAATATTATTGGGAATTAAAAAAAGTTCTCCAAAAATTCAGCATTTAAGACTGACATATAGAGCCCAATAGTTTTCAGGCGACGTTACACAAAAACAGTCATATGGACTGTAAGTCAGTGTCAGCTTTTTGTTACATTATACATTCTTAAACTAGGTCTGGTGAATAAATACCTGTTTTTGAACTTCATCGACCAAGTCGTAGCCGATTGTACGATATAGAAAAAAGCTATGGCTCAGCCCTTGTTTCATTTCACTAAAGAGTGTCCCGGTTTCACCAGGAACTTTTCTATATTTAACAAATATGACAACAGTCACCACCAGATGGACCGTTATATAGAAGACAAGTGTCGCAAAGAACTGAAAAAAATGGGCATATTTCAATAAAAATTTTAAACGATTTATAATTCAAGGAAGTTTTATAAGAATTATAATGCAATAATATTTAAATAAAATTAAATTCTAACGTCAGGTCTCTTTAATTCTTCCAATACGAAAATAAAAAGATCACAGACCTCGCAAATTATGCAAATATCTTAGGAGTATTGAAAACACCAAACGTAGCTGCTGGAAATCTAAGTTGCCAAAAAAAAAAGGTAATCTTTGCAGCTTTGATTGATTCTTGGTATCATTCGCATTAAGATTAGATCACCGTTTGTAACTAGTGGGTAAATCAGGAAAAATATAATAAAATTATGTAATAGCGTGAAACTGCTAGAATAAAATAATTTCAAATAGTTAAAATTTGCTGCTAAGGACTTTTAGAGCGAACTTTCTCTTTTGCTTGGAAATCACATGATAACGGAACGCGAATTTTACGATTAATTTGTCCGTCAAGACGTTTTCCTGTAAATTACTCTTAAATCAGAATTCATAACTATTGACCATAATTGAAAGATGGATATGGTAATTATGTATAATGTGGCTTCGCATCGGTCGGATAGGGACGACTTTGTACAATACTGTCACGCAGTGAAATTTTAATGAAATTCAAAAAACCATTTTAGACCTTAAAACATATTTCAAAATTAATTAAATATTTTATAATTATAATGGACGGGGATCGATGGTTGATTCGCAATCAGTCGATTCCGGAACGCGAAGGGATAAAGTCTACCCTTAAAAGGAGTACTAGGTGGCAAATTCTGTGTGTTGGTAACACTTACTCCTAGGCGATAATGGTTGCGACGCTCCTGCCAATGTAAGTAAAGCCGACTTGTTTTTTGTGTTGATCTGCATTGGGGGAAAGATCCTTTTTTTTTGTAAATGTCAATTTCCTTTATATTTACATAATAAAGTTGTTATTGTTTTAAAACTTGCCTATCTTGTCATTTTAGTACCTGACCCCCAGTCACGCCAAAATAATCAATTTGCATTAAAATCAGGCAAGTAAAATAAATAACTAACCAATTACCGACATAACACAGATGGTCAAGACTACGTTCCCAAATTAGGCGTGACATGTATGGTGGAGGCGCCGATTTCTCTCAATTGTAGATCGATTCACTTATTTTATAAATTTTTTCACTTACATGTTATTTTTTTTATTGGCTTGTTTTAAATATTTCAACTAAACCCATTCTGATAATTTTAATTTTTCTTGGTAAACATNATTTTAGTACCTGACCCCCAGTCACGCCAAAATAATCAATTTGTATTAAAATAAGGCAATTAAAATAAATAATTAACCAATTATCGATATAACATAAATGGTCAAGACACCGTTCCCAAATTAGGCGGGACAATACTACAAGTGTTTCTAAACGGTAACGGTGGGTTAAAGGCACAGAGGGTGGAATATAGAAATCTAAAATTTAGAAAAGGATGTATTATAACTTAAGATAACCTTTACGTAGCCTTACATAACCTAACATAATAAAAATTCTTTAGGGCGATTTTTATCTGTAGTTTCACAGAAAAAGTCCTCATAATTCTAACATGCTTTTACCTCTCTTTAGCACTCAGTCTCGTCCACATCATGTCCCTGCCCTCTTCTCTACTGCCTTACCTCAACTCGCACCTCTATTCTAACACTGACCCTTATCTTCACCTCTACTCACCTCCTCTTGTCCATTGTTAGCAATTTTAATAATACTGCTGCAGTTGTATTGAGATGTGACCAACAAAAGTTGCGGTTCTGAGAAGAACCGATTTTATAATAGCGTTGGACACATTTCTGCATCAAAGATGATTTGAACAATATTACAGCATCCGATGATTGACACTATTGCAGTATCCAAATAAAATTGAGCCTGGACTGATTTATTCAATTATTTACACGCTATTTATACAAAAATTATTTAAATTAGTTTAATGGCAATAGTTATTTCAGCAGTTTACATCTGTGTGTGTAAATGTCTATGACCTAGTTAGTCACACTGTATCGCGATCTTACTAAGTCGGCACAAATGAAGAACTCTAACTACACATTCAAATTGTTTAATGTTATATCGAGTGTTTCCACACTGCAATATTTAATCATTTTGCAGGATAAAAGGAAAAAAGCATGTTTAAATAGGCAAGTGGAATTGATCTCGAAATAATGTGGATCTAAGTAACGTTTTTCAGATTTTTGCACTTTTTCCCCTCATGTCTGTGCCTTTCCACTTAAAGACACCTTTTCAATGTTGTACAAGGTTATCACTATCCATGTTCCCCCCCTCTCTCAGAAATAATACTTTCAAACTTTCAATTTTCGCCTCAACACCTACTCCGCCTCCACGTGTTCATCTCGCTTATACAAACACATGTAAGGTGTTCTACAACGTCATCTGGATCCTCAATTCAACTCGCCCCCCCCCCCTCCGTGCATATTATAAAAAGTAATGTTCCCCCATAACAATACTATCACTTCTTCATTCCCTTGGGGATCAAATTTCAGTAAATCGCTCATTGGTCATTAGTGCACTCTAATTAAAGTAATCTAAGAATAACTTCCTCTAAATTTAGACTCACCGATTTACATTGTGCGATCTCCGACTGTCTGTCAGTCAGTTAGCTAGTCAGTCACAGTACTTTTTTATAGATACAGGCAACTGACAACACTGCTGGAAGTACATACTAAAATCTAACAGCTTAAGTGACTCTATGAGTGTCCCGCCAAGAAAGTGTTTTTTAAAGAAATGGCTCACGAATTTTTATGCGATGAAAATCTATCTGTATATATATATATATATTCCTATTATTCATGTATATCTTTTATTTTTCAGTGTGAACAATAAAAAAAATACAACGTGTAATTATATAACACGCTGTTGAAGTGAAACATACCGGAATAGGGGTTAAGAAATTGGCTTAATGGTATTATTTGTACACTATGAATTTAATTTTTACACTTTACATGCCGGAGTTGCCTGTAACGAACGTTCTATTGAAGCGCGCTCACGGCTCAAGCGATCCCCACTACGAGACATCCGTTGCATGATTTCGTTACATAGCAACTCGCATGAAACGAACTTACCCTATCATGCGTAAAGAAGTTTCACTTCAAAAAGAATGGGTTAGAACTCGAATTAGTTTGCATTTATAGTATATTCAATGAGTTATTATACATATGTATGAAGGTGTACAAGTTGGATACAAATTGCAAGGCGTAAATCGACTCTTTTCGAGTGTAAATATTCATAAAACATATGTAATAATAAAACGCAATCACCCACGCAAATAATATTTTACATATTACAACTGTTAAACTCCAATATAGTGATTTGATTATCAGATTTTTTGGAAAAGGCCATTGGTACCTAAAGTAACGTTTTATCTATAAGTATAAAACAAGAACCGTCACAATAACTTCGCGTTCACCGGAATGTAGACACACCGATTTCGTTATTTTGAATGAAAATATTGAAACGTGTTACCGTTAAAGGGTTTCGGCATAATATTTTTTATTGAAGAGAGACCTGACAATCTCAAACTGTTTGGTAGATTGAGATTTTCATGAAAGGACGTATACATTGTTTAGCTTCTCTAGCGATGTGACCTTTAGTTTGACCGGCGCAAAGTAGAAAAGAATAGCAATGGGCCAGAAAAGAAAGGAGACAACTCTTGGCCAAACTCTTAACCGGTGAGGAGCGTATAATCCGTACAGTACTGCACGGAAAAATTGACCATTTTATCCACTAAAATTGAATTGTTCAAATGTGCTGTTATTGGTACCAATTACTACTAAAAATATTAATGGGATGTTTATTTATATTTGAAGACATATTAAAGGCTTTAACGCTTGTTTTCGACTCGCACTACTATTCATGATTGAACAAAACTTTTGGCAGGTACTGTATGAAAAAGTANTTGCACAGTAATTAATGATATGCGTATGTAAATAACGCAGTTGGAATTACCATAAAAGGGTACAATAATAAGCAGTTAGTATAAATATGTAGGTATATCTGTTTCTCTATCACATAGTGGTGAGCTACGCCGTGGATTCAGTTCAGCAAAGTTGATATCCATCTATTTAAATGGATATTGATGAGCGTATTTAATTTCACTAAATGTAGTATTGTACTACAGATTGCGTTTACCACGCCATTTGTGGAATTTCATAAAACGCGCTGTGTTAAGGCAGCAGGTAGAGTTGGTCGGGGTTCTGTCGAAACTTTCTCCAACGCGCTGATGAGTTCTAATAAGATCGAAATCACAATCAACTTCTGGCAGTTTACGTACAGAATACTGACCACTTCGAATTTCTTTATACGATTTTGGTAACGTGCCTATCACGTATGTTTTTCCAGTTTCCATCTTCTTGAATGCTGAGACCTGAACGTGGATAAAACACTTTTCCTCGTATACGTGCCTTTTTGTAATTGTAACAATAGATCCAATAATTATGCTATTAATGACTACTTACTTTAATAACATAGGAACCTTCCAAATTCCGAAGCTGTAGTATTTTTCCTTATCAAATTTTCACTTTTAAGAAAGCTGACTTAATAATGTTTGTGAATTATTGCATAATCTCCAAATTTAAATTTTATCCTTCTCAGTGTATGTACGTATTGGTTCCCAAGCCATTAGCTCAACGCGATCAATCATTTTTCGATATCAGTGATGTGAAGGCGTTGAAGAGAAGTGGGTTTCAGGAGTCCCAAGAAAAACTGCATGTCTGATTAACGTCGTGGAAAGACGTATTTTCGGGAACCTATATAATTCACAAATTTTTAATTAGTTTTGACTGACGCATAATTCTTTTCTTTTCTTCATTTGCTAATTTAAATTTAAATATTAAACTCCTCATTACCAATCATTTTATTTTCCTTTGGCATACAATTTACAATTTTATGTTTATTGAATACTAATTAATTAATGATAAAAAATTATGACAGTACGTTTGTCTATTTATTCCAAGATTAATAAAGTAAATTGTTTAAATTAAGTAGTTTATTTTTTTGTGTGCTTTCAAATTTGTGTAATACACAAGGGCAGTTTGCAAGCATCTACACATAATACTGATTTTACTTTGTAAATTCAAGTTAAGTCGTTTGAGGAAGGGAGTATGCTCACGTATGCTTTAATTTTGTTATATAATTTGCAAGCTAACACAATAAGTTTGTATTTCAACTGTACGTCCCCGGGAAAGCGACTTTATTTTTTACTATGTTGTTACTATGATTATGAAGGTATATATAAAAGATGCGTTCAAGAAGTAATGCAACCAAACTTATTAAATATCATTTATTGATAACTAGCGACCCGCCCTAGCTTCGCACGGGTGCAATACTGATACTAAAAATAGACAATACAAACCGGCCCCCCGGCCGATAACGCCGCAACCGCCATGTTCATGCATTTTAGATCTGTAGTATCTTCGAAAATATTAATTTAAACTGCATGCTCTAAAGGGCCATATTGATCTATATTAAATGCAAAATGTATTTAAAAGTACTTAATTAGATAAGAATTAGTGCTTTATTGCTTGAAATCGCTTCGTAAATAAGCCATTATTTCTCATAAAAAGTAAAGGATAAAAAATGGTTATTGTGGATTGTCCAAAATAAAACTAATATGTATCAAAATAAAATCAATGGATTGATAAATTCGCAATTAAAATGAATCATTATAATCAACTTTAGGCAAGAGTTTAAAAAATTTATTGGTTTTTTCTTGTTTTGAATTTTGAAATTAGTCCACTCAGTTATATCTTTTATAAAATTCGCCTCGGCGCGAGCCAACAGTAAGTATTTAAAAGATGCCAATACGTTGAAAAATTAGTAAATGTGCTGTTATTGGTACCAATTACTACTAACAATACCAACGAGATGTTTACTTATATTTGAAGACATATTAAAGGCTTTAACGCTTGTTTCCGACTCGCACTACTATCCATGATTGAAAAAACTTTTGGCAGGTACTTTATGAAAAAGTATGTTTAATGAACAAGAGACAAATAGTATAACGAGCTTTTTTCACCGTATCTACGATTTTGCCAGCGCGCATTTAAGACATTGGAAGGGGCACATCGCTAGAGAAAGTAAATGAAGTATACCTTACGATCAACCAAAAGTAATGATAATTCTATGCATATAGAAACATTTTATTGGTATTTAGACAGTACTCACCAAAATAATTCCGGTGAAAACGCTGAGCCAAGTTGTGTGGATTTTCCTGGAAAACGTAGGCATTGTAAAAAGGGTCGGGAAAAAAATCTGAAAGAATTTTTATAATGCTTTGTTATTCAAATTCAGATGTATGTTTACTTTTACAATGAGCATTAAATTCTTGGTCAGCGATTTATCAAACTTGTTAGACATACGTACAGACTGATACTAAGGACAATCCCTTCCATAGGGGAGAAATTCTATTACATGCGATACCCGTTTCTGATTTAGCTCTACACGTATGAGCTGGTGAAAAGAAGTCAAAGAAGAATGAGGCAGATGATGGGTATGAAGAAAATAAGTTTGCCCTGAGTGAGTGCCTAAGGTGGTTGGCACTTGATGGTTTCCAATGGTTATGGAATTACAGAAGTGTGAAGTCCTCATTAATCTTAAGTGAAGATTTGGAAGACCTTTTACTAATAGTTTCGTAACTCACAACATATTTGTATTTTATTATAATTTTGAGCTCAAAGTTAATAAAAGTTGTATACAAAGTGAATTACCTCATTGCTCCGTCATTAGCTATTAAATATATGCCTATAGAACCGATAGAATGCTGGGAAACACTCATGGAGAAAAGTATAAATTACTAAAATGTACATACCACTCAAAAAAATTATATTTTGCATCAATTTTTAATTACGCACGCAAACTACTATTCGACGAAACAGGCACCATTACCATTTTATCAGACATCGACATCGGAATTATGTATATTTAACAATTTGACTGTTTTTACCCTCAAATATTATAAATGGTACGCTGCACAACACATTTGACAATTCAAAAGGTTTTCACATGTCAATATCAGTATTGTCAACATTTAATTACAGAAAATACAAAATACACCATATTTTCTATTATTCCTAACTTTTACAGCGTCTATCTTTTTGTATTAGCCTAATATCATTTGTTATAATTATGTGTTCTAAGATAACTGCATCTTTTCGATGAAATTGCAATCTATCGGACTGAATTTCGAAATTTTGTTCTTAAAGTCGTTTTAAAACATTCCGTAATTTGTAAAGTGACCTACTGCGGAGTTTTCAGAAATTACAATACCATCAAAATATAAGAGACATGGTGTAGGAGGAGTGAGGATTTTATTCATCATTCTTTGAAAAGTGTTTGGTGCATTAGCTACATCAATTGACATTTTTAAAGATTTAAATGGCAAGTGGGACTGAAAAACTCTTTTTCGGGAATCAAGTTCGCATGGACTTTTGTGTGATGAAATCACCTATTGTCACATGTATATAGGCAGCCCAACATACATCTAAACGGCATATATTGGATCATTCTAGAACAAGGCCAGTCTCCATAAACTGTTGTCGCGAGATCGAGTGGGGGAGTACGAGAACGAATTCGAGGCGATACAAAGGGAAGAAGAAGGAGCAAAGAAGTGGCAAAGTGTTCATGTATTGGTGAACAAAAGTGAAGATTTTTAAAAACGTGACATCGTATAATTTGCTTCACTTCTTCCTTTAATTTATCTAATGTAGTCTTAATTATGTTGTCCCTTTCTTCTAACATTTCCTTTCTGTTTATCGACAAGGTTTTTCTATTTTCCACCATTATGTCTTCTGTTTGAATTCATTTAGTTTTAAATAAAATAATTCGAAGTGGTCTATATTCTGTCGAAACTGCCAGACGCGGATCGCGATTTCGATCTTTTTGGATCTCATCAGCGCGTCGCAGGCAGCTCCGACAGAACACAGACCAACTTTACAGTGCGTTTTAGAAAATACTACAAATGGTGCAGTAAACGCCATCTGTAGCACGGTGCTAAATTTTAGGATTACAGACCACTTCGAATTATTTTAATCAATTAAGCTAACGTTGAGGTTGGCTACGCCAGGATTCGTTTTCAGCAAGTAGATATCCACACAAGTGGACCTTGTTGGAGCATACGTAATCCTAAAATGTAGCATCGTGCTACAGATGGCGTCTACAGCGCCATTCTTAGTATTTTCAGTTAGTTTTATTTATTAGTTCTTAGTTTTCCTTTCTTACTTCCTTTAGATCGCCTCTTACTTCTATCAGCATTATAAATTCATCATTTTCCATTTCCGTTTCGGTCTCCTTTTCTTCCCACCCCGTGTAGTAGTTTGTATTTCAACTGTACGTACCGTTGCCTTTGAGTTTGATTTGTCTTTTTTGTAGATTAATCCAAAATTGTTATTGTGAACGAATTCCGCAGGCGATGGATACTGTCGACACTTTTGCGGTATCCCGAAGGCCTGCACAGAAAGATGCAGATTGTGAATTATAAGTTCAGTCGACAAAAACGGCTTAAAAAATGTTTCTGGAGAATATTCCACGACAAAACAAATAATTGAATACCATCTGACACAAGAGGAAGTGTCGACATATGACAATTGATGTAAGTAATGCGTGAACGAGAAAATCAGTAATTGTAATATCGAATAAAAACAACTTTTGTACAAAACGTTTTTACTTAAAACTGATAATAATGCTGCTGTGGAAGGAGGAGTCTTAGGTGAGACACCCTATATATATAATTCATTTCGTTTTGGTACTGTACAGTTCTAGCCGATCTCCTAAGACCGCCCATCGAGAGTTCTGCTTGTTCAAGCTTGTTCCAACTATTTTTGTCTAGCTCACGTGTAGTATGTATTCTTTCTATCTTCGCGTAGATTTCTTCAAGGTCACAATTCAAATAAATTGAAATGGACTGTAAAATTGTACATCAAACTAAACAGCATTTCGCAACCATTAAACTAACAATAGTAATAATGTGCACTTTTATCATAATCTTCTTCGAAACTGTGTTATAATAAATAGCGGCATCTATTTTAGATAGGTATTAGCCAATATTAAAAAAAAAGGGGGGGGAATTACTTTTCATATATGTACCTATGGTGTGTTAATCGATACGCTTATTTTAAAAAATCAGTTTTGTGTAGATACATCACCTTTTTCATTAAAATCACGTTGCAATAGGTATTGCTTTTTTGTTTTTATTCCAGATCATGTTAGCCATAGTAATGTTGAAATGAATTATTTCTGCTATACTCAGCATTTTAAAAGCATTACAGATTACCTACCACGAAGAAGGGGCCCGTGATGCACTTAAAAAGTATACCAACCCGGCACGAAATACTAAACTACAACAGAAGAAGGTGACGCTATTCGGAAATAAACCGGAACTTTTATCGCATCTGGCCAACATAAAGAGTCACAGAAATTTAATCAAACATTTGACTAGAACGGGTTTCGAAATGGCAGCCGAAGATTCAATTTCTGCTACTAAAAGAGTGAAGTAGGACCACAGCGAAATCTCTTTCGTACATGTGCGATTTCCAACTTGAAACAAAAACCCATATTGACCTGCCGATTGTTTCATTCTCTTCCAGTGTCATATTATCAATACTCTGAATAAAGGAGAGGCCCCCAATGTTAATGCTCTGTGTGGAGGACAATTCGTACTCCATAAACAGATCAAATCATTAAGCAAGCTAAGCACTTCTATATTCTAAACGTCCATTAGTAGTGTATATTCGCCGATTCTGTAACACAACTGAAGAGGGGGGGCGGACTGCTAACAAGATCACACAGGCGTGGTCAATTGCCGAGGATTGGGTTAGTAAACTTTACCATCAAGCAAATGTGAATTAATGCATGTTACATCTGGAGACGCAGTAGACTGCTTACAGTAATCGCATCTGATACACAATGAGGACGAGGGTATCATTGACCGGTTGGTAGTCCCATGCGCGGTCGATGGGATATCAAACGCTCATGCGACAGTAAATTAATCCATGCGACTTCTTGGAGACTTATTAGAGACGTAAGTTAAAGGCCGGTACTATTCCTTAAGCTTAAAAAAAACACTTTTGGACACTCAATTTATTTATTATTGATTAATTAATTATATGTTGAATTTGTTCTTAACTTTGGAGGGTTTTTGTTGCTTAAAGGAATAGGAGTTACGCCTTACGGAAAATAGCGATACACCATGTGCGTTAACTATTAACACGATTAGAGACCGACCTAGTCGTTTGAAAGACTTTTTGTAACTCCACGATCGAAGTTATTGATTGTTTAAAGAAAACTTGCATAACTGCTGATTAATTAAAAAGGAACGGATGGCGTGGGTTTGCCAGCCATCTACTACTGATAAGGCACGCGTTTTGTTACAATGTTAGCATTTTTAAACTGGTTAACTCGTAGTGGGTTGATTACCGCAACTTTAAATGATTTTGCTATAAAATGAGGAGGATGCTCTCATTGACCGGTTATGCTTTCGCGCGTGTGGGCTTTTTGACCGATAAATGTATCACCTGTTTCTCATTACGAAGTGGGAGAAATTGCACAGTAATTAATGATATGCGTATGTAAATAACGCAGTTGGAATTACCATAAAAGGGTACAATAATAAGCAGTTAGTATAAATATGTAGGTATATCTGTTTCTCTATCACATAGTGGTGAGCTACGCCGTGGATTCAGTTCAGCAAAGTTGATATCCATCTATTTAAATGGATATTGATGAGCGTATTTAATTTCACTAAATGTAGTATTGTACTACAGATTGCGTTTACCACGCCATTTGTGGAATTTCATAAAACGCGCTGTGTTAAGGCAGCAGGTAGAGTTGGTCGGGGTTCTGTCGAAACTTTCTCCAACGCGCTGATGAGTTCTAATAAGATCGAAATCACAATCAACTTCTGGCAGTTTACGTACAGAATACTGACCACTTCGAATTTCTTTATACGATTTTGGTAACGTGCCTATCACGTATGTTTTTCCAGTTTCCATCTTCTTGAATGCTGAGACCTGAACGTGGATAAAACACTTTTCCTCGTATACGTGCCTTTTTGTAATTGTAACAATAGATCCAATAATTATGCTATTAATGACTACTTACTTTAATAACATAGGAACCTTCCAAATTCCGAAGCTGTAGTATTTTTCCTTATCAAATTTTCACTTTTAAGAAAGCTGACTTAATAATGTTTGTGAATTATTGCATAATCTCCAAATTTAAATTTTATCCTTCTCAGTGTATGTACGTATTGGTTCCCAAGCCATTAGCTCAACGCGATCAATCATTTTTCGATATCAGTGATGTGAAGGCGTTGAAGAGAAGTGGGTTTCAGGAGTCCCAAGAAAAACTGCATGTCTGATTAACGTCGTGGAAAGACGTATTTTCGGGAACCTATATAATTCACAAATTTTTAATTAGTTTTGACTGACGCATAATTCTTTTCTTTTCTTCATTTGCTAATTTAAATTTAAATATTAAACTCCTCATTACCAATCATTTTATTTTCCTTTGGCATACAATTTACAATTTTATGTTTATTGAATACTAATTAATTAATGATAAAAAATTATGACAGTACGTTTGTCTATTTATTCCAAGATTAATAAAGTAAATTGTTTAAATTAAGTAGTTTATTTTTTTGTGTGCTTTCAAATTTGTGTAATACACAAGGGCAGTTTGCAAGCATCTACACATAATACTGATTTTACTTTGTAAATTCAAGTTAAGTCGTTTGAGGAAGGGAGTATGCTCACGTATGCTTTAATTTTGTTATATAATTTGCAAGCTAACACAATAATAGAATGACACTGATACATATCATATTATATGAACTAAATAACAAACAAAACAGTGACGTTTTCTTCAACAACATACAAAACCGAAAACATATACGGGTCAGTGATCAAATACTGCAACCACCGAAGATAGTCTCTCAATAATTCCTTATATATTTCTCAAGTACATATTTATACTCCTTTCGATTAAAATTTAA